GGTGGGCGCAGGCTGTCCGCCGCCACCAGCGGGTCCAAATCCCATTGCTGACTGCAGCCTCTCCCGAGGGTTGACTTCCCTTCACCACCAAACAAGCAAGTAGAGATCTCAGATGGTGGGATGAGGGGTCCCTGCCCCTGCTTGCCTAGGATGGAGTAACAGGCATTTGGGTTTTTTCCTCTGGACGGGAATTTACTCCTTAGTGCCAGTTTTCCCTCTGACACCTTACTGGATCTTTCTGACACTACGTGCTACAGATTTATAAGCAAGTGGTGGTGAGTGGAGGGGAACTCAGCTAGCTGGCCCGTGGGAGGCATAGTGCTTCCTCAAGACGGTTTCCCTGATCAGGCGGTTGCAGCCGTACTTGAGCCTCCCCCTCGTGCATCCTGCGGTCTTAGCCACGTGTTTCCCAGCCTGCTCGGTCTGAGCTGTGTTTACACGCGCTCTCTAAAGCTGCCCTTTCTGGCAACCTTTTGAAGACCAGCAGAGCCATCGCTGTAAACAAAAGCGTACAGGGAATGCAGAAACTCAAACTGGAATTCATACGTTCACAAATTCCCAGACTGTCGTAACACGGCAGGATTTTTTAACCGGCTGCACAAGGACTTGAAACGGCTCCGAGCTTGGAATTTGGCTGTCCTGGACTTCACCAGCAGCAATTTTGTGGCTGGTCCTGTACTGTTCCAGGCACTCCAACCTCGTTAGTAACACGACCGTTTTCAACCGTACTATGGCCTCGTAGTATGTACCTGCATGGCCAAAAAGAATCTCAGAATGCGCTCAGGAAACCCCTCTTTCACGTGCTTCCTAAGGCTGCAACCCCTCCATCTACCCTGGCAGATTCAAAGGTTCTAGTCAGGTTTCCCACATGCACCCAAGCACGTGGTGTAACGGTTCCCTGAGGAATCCCTCCAGAGAATTGGATCTTGAGCAAAGGTTGTTATTGTCTGTTGTCTTCTCTCAGAAAAAGCTGATGGGGGAAGTTGTTTGGGGTTTTTTTTCTTCCTCTCTGTAGAGATCACCTGTCCAGGCAGTAAGACAGTCACCTTCAGAAGTTTCAAGGAGGCTCTCTGGCTGCTGTTTGTCCACCCAGCGCTGGCTCAAGTCCTGCGCTGTTCTGCTTTGCACTCCGAGGGGTTGGTATTCGGCACCCCGAGTCACTAGAGTTGTTACCCTGGAAAGCTCAGTGCTGTCGTCCTTGTGACTTGCTTTCATCCCTCATTCCCAGCTCAACGCTCGGTCAAGCTCAGTGCCTGAAGCTTTCCAGGTTCTCCTTTACACAGTCTCCTCTCAGAGGTCTGCTTTACCACATGTGCCTGGAGCACGGGATTCCCTGGAGAATGAATGACAGCAGCACACAAGCTGAAGTGGTTGGTGCTTGTTTTCCCAGGCTCTGTGCTTACCTAGTCTGTGTTTCTGTCTTTATTCTGAGAAACCCTCCTTCGGCTGATGAATGATGAATTTGAAAGGTGGAATTCTAAACTGGAGTTGGCCGTTCAGCCCTCCTCTTTGGTTAGCCTTGATGGGGCCTAAAAATGATGGTGGAAGTCCTGGTTTCTGACAATCCCTGGAGAAGAGAAGGAAAAGGCACTTTCTACAGTTATCAGGAAGTTTTTAAGGGTTTTTTTTTCCCGCTTCAGATCGTGTCCCCTCATGGCTCCGTGGCACGGAGCGTTTCTTCATCCATTAGAGAAGAAAGTGGCTTCTCCTGCGCAGGCTGGTAATAACCATCCGTGCAATGTAAGATCGCTGTCGCTGCACCAGGCCTGCGGGGCTGACTTTTGTCTTGCCAGTACGTTCTGCTTGCTGCTGCGCGTCGTTCCCAAAGAAGAGAAACCCTACCATCACTTATAGCCAGGCAATCAAAAGCTATTTCATTTACCCGTGTATTCCTGTTTCTTTGCCACTTTTCAGATAATTGCCATTTGAACCAGAAGAGAGTTTGAGTGCTTGCCTTCTTCTTTTTAAGCTTTTAAAGTACCTCTGTGTCTTAACAGATTGAACACTTCAGAAAGAAACTATTTCTTCAGTGGGACAGAGGACAATAGCTCTTGTACAGCTGTGTATGGCTCATCTTAAAAGGAAATAAAAATCCCGCCATGAACACACACTGTGGTTTTGAAATCCTTTATTCAGTGCTCTAATTCTGAACAATGT